TGAGAATCGATTCTAGAACATAAATGATTGGTATCGGAGGAATCGATATTTCAGGATCGATCTGCACATCACTAGTTTATAGAGGAGGGACAGAAAAAGATAAAATATCCAGTGATCTGATTGTTCTCTGTGCAGTGAAAATGCCTTTTGATGCCAGAGAAAGACTGCATTGAGCTGATAGGGAGCCAACAGTGACTCAAAAAAACCACACCTTGCAACCAAGGTATGCAGAAAAACATCTCTGAAAGCACAAAATATCAAATGCTGCAGCAGATCACACTGAGTGCCACTCCTGTTTGCTAAGAGCAGGAACCTGAGGCTACAATACACATGGGATCAACAGAACAGAAGATTGGAAAAATGTTGTCTGGTCTGATGAGTTCTTGATTTCTGCTGCAACATTCAGATAGTAGTGTCTGAATTTGTTGCAAACAACATGAAAACATGGATCCATCCTGCTTGCATCAACAGTTCAGGCTGCTAGTGGTGGTTTAATGATGTGGGGGATATTTTCTTGGCATGCTTTGGGCCCCTTAGTACCAACTGAGCATTATTGAAATGCCACAGCCTACCTGAGAATTGATGCTGATCATTTCCATCCCTTTATGGCCACGGTGTACCCATCTTCTGATGGTTGCTTTCAAAAGGATGACACACCATATCACAAAGCTCAAGTAATCTCAAACTGATTGCTTGAATATGAAAATGAGCTCACTGTTCTCAAATGGCCTCTACAGTCACCAGATCTCAATCAAGCAGAGCACCTTTGGGATTTGGCTCAACGGGGGATTTGTATCATGGTTGTGGGGCCAACAAATCTGCAGCAAGTGTTTGACGGTATCGTGTCAGTAAGGGGTAAAATCTCAGAGGAATGTATACACCACCTTGTTGAACCTATGCCATGTAGAATTAAGCCAGTTCTGAATGTAAAAGGGGATCTAGCAAGCTGTACCTCATGTGCTACTTGCACATGAGTTTAAAATGTAATATTTATGATAAACTGATGTTAAAGTTTTGTGCTACCTCAAAATGTGCATCTGCTTTCCGGTAATTGCAAATTATTTCTTATCATTCCTTCTTTCTTACATTTTGTATTCTAATACCAGACGTGTTGCATCAGACTCTCTTTGCATTACCCTGTCAAGAAACCAGTCTGGGCGGCTTCCGGTGCCATCTATTCGAATTCTGATCTTCTTCAAAGGAGCGATGTCATCTATCTCCAAGGTAAATGTGTCTTCTTGCCCTCTTTCAAACCTGAATGAACCAATATATATGGATTAAGCTGCATTTAAAGACATGACTGTGCTAATTAAATAGTTTAACCTTTCTGAAGATACATTTAATTGCATTTTAACTTTCATGCCTTTGTAGCTGTACACAGCGGCTGGTTAGATTATCTTAGGTTAAACGGCATAAACAGTGAAACAGCCTGTCCAATTTTGTGCAACAGCACAGATTAACATAAAACACTGTGTTTATTCAGAAACATGTGGTGCTTATGGCATTTATATGGCAGACTCTTTGTTATTACGATCTTAGTGCCAATAAAGGAAATCACTGCTTTGATCCAAAATACCACACAATAAGTGACATTTCTTTATAATTAGGTCACATTAATGAGATGCAGCACATATATTATTGAACTTTAAAGGTGCTGATGAGCTCATTTTGTTTGTTTAAACTCAGGCATCCCACATTTCCAGTATTTGCACTGAAAGTATCAACTGTTTCTTTACTGATAAGTAATCACTGTGAACTGACCTATCCTCATTTTTGGGCAGAAGCATTTCCTCTGTGCTCCCATTGGCTCCGAACACGGTCAGGAAAATGTTGGTATCAGTTCCTGCATACTGAATGTCACCTGTGGCAACCGTGACTGAATAAACAACCTAAAAAAATACAGTACACAGAGATACAGATACAGTTTTTATGTAACACATTAACTGAATGTTTTCCAACACTTCATATTTTTGGTGCGGTGACTCACTTTGCGGATAATGTTGATCGTGCTGGAGTCCAGCACATTGAACAGTCTGGCAGTCAGACCATCTCCCCTGTCTTTAGCCAGCCAGCACTTACATGGAAAGATGTACTTGATACCTTTGGTTGGCACGGCAACCGACAGCTCATCCACCAACCAGCAGCTCTCTGGTGTGACACCGTTATGGCCAAGCTGAGAGGGAAGAGAAGGGAGAGGAGATGGAGAGGGAATTGGTATATCACTTGATTTTTGTTTGATCTAGGCACATCTAGAATTAATTATTGCTGAGCTAGAATGGTTTTATTAAAATTTTAACAGCAGTGCATCTGAAGAGACAGCAGAGAGGAGACAGTTTCACAGATTTAGCTACAGAAAGAGTCCCAGATTCTCACTTCCACCCTCTTGATCTCTCCCACGTCAGTTCCATAGCGCACAAAGTGCTCCATGGAGCCAGCTGTGAAGGATTTCTTTCCCTCTGGCAGGTCCAGCCACAGCCGGTCTGTCTCGACGTCATTGGGACCAATGATGATGACATAAACCCTCGCTGTGGTGCTGGCATCTTGTTCGATGGCCGTGGACAGGGTGAAGTGATAAGGGATGACTGGGTGAGAGAAAAACTGCTTTGAGATTTTTTTTCACATATAAAATTCAGTCTGATGTCTCAGCCACTTCAGAGACCATTCCTACTTCTTTAATATTAGTACTATCATCTAGCTCCAGGCTGAGTGTGACCTTTTGATCTTTTTCAAATATGGATGGAGACAATATTAAAGTTTATCTTAAAGGAGTAGTTTGACATTTTGGGAAAGGTGTATTCTTACAGAAAGTCAGATTAAGGTGGAAGATTGTTAGCACTCTTTTAAAACTGTAGCCAGCAGCCATTTACCTTAGCATAGCACGAAGACTTATAGTCAAGAAATAATCCTTCATCACTATACACTGTAAAAGCATACAGCTGTTCTTCTTAGACGAAACATGTTGTGTTAATTAATGAGCCTTTAATTAAGGTGTTTGTAGATGCTTTTCTTTTATTAAGGCTACATCAGTGTTATTCTAGTGCTTTAGCACACACATACTATCATGTGCAGCCAAAGAAAGAGAGCAGAGGGATGCTTGTTTTGTGTCTTGTATCATACAGAAGAACAGAAACAGCAACGTTTCAGATCAGAGATTTATTTTGCCTGAGGTAGAGCAGTTCCACTACTAATCAGAAGGTCAGTTGTTCAATCCCTCCTCCTCCTTCATTCTGCACGTTGAAGTGTCCTTGGGCAAGATACTGACCCTCAAATCCGCCTCCCCGTGCATCCTTCAAAAAGTGTGTTCGTGTGTGTGTTTGAAAGTCCTTAGAGGCAGAAAATATAGCTCAAATGTGTGTGTGAATGTGGGTTGTAATAATCAATTGCTTTGAGTGCTCACTTAGACTAGAAAAGCACTACACAAGTACCAGTTCATTTAGCATCCCTGGTAGAGAGGTACAAAGAGGATTATAGAGGATGAGGTTACAAAAGGTGTCTGAGCCAAGCTATCTTTTTTGTCTTTTTTTCTCATTTTTTGAAGCAATTGTAGGTCTGCGTACTACAATTTTGTGAATGTCTCTGCTTTCCTTTCCACACTAAAAAAAGTCAGAACTGCATTGGCAGGACTTCCAAAAGTCTCAGTTTTAGGAGTGCTGTGGTGAGTGAGTTCAGGCACAAGGCGTAACTTTGGTAAGTTAAACACTTTAAAATGAAAGCCACCAAGCACAAACGCTCCCACCGTGTTTACCTATTTCTTTAATGTTGGTTAATTTGGTGTAAATATTAGGGTGAACTATGACCTGATTGATATTACCTATATTTATCAAATTTCTATAAGTTTGCATTGATTCTTCCTGTTGATATTGTGGTTATTTATCATGTTGAATTTCAGTATGTTTTCCTGATATTTGTGTCCACTTCCAGAAACGTCATTTCACAAAGAGACACAATGAATAGACCTTACTTGGACCCTCTTCAACCACTACTGCCTTTTTCTTCTTTTTCTTCTTGTTGGCATTCTTGTCCAGTCCCAGTTTGGCCTGAGCAATCATTTTGGAATATGGATCAGAGCTTCTTTCACCCTCATACCCCTGAAACAGGCACAAAATAAACACAGCTATCAATTTTCTTTTCTGGAATAACTCTGACATACAAAGAAGAAAATAATAAAACAGTGTCTTTAAACACAACCTTGACGTAGAAGGTCCTGTCTATTCGTTTGTCCTCTTTCTTCGTTGATAGCCAGCGCTCACACAGGAACATGTATACCTCTTCTGTTTCCACATCCAGCACTTCCACCTGGTCCAGGTACCAGTCAGCCCCAATCATAGAGTTGTTATGACGAACACGAATCTTAAACACCTGCCCCAAATCCACGGCCTCAATATTGAACTTATCCACCTAAAAGGCAAAAGGAATTGAACAGATTTAGATTTATTTTTGTGCAACATCACATAACGATTCGCACTTCTCCTCTAATACCTCTCCTCTCTCAAACTTGTTCTTGTTATTCTCAGATTTGGCGAGTTTCCGCTCTCCTGTGTCTCCCAAATCTCCATAAATGGTGAGGAAAACGTTGGCATCGGTCCCTGCTCCGTACATATCGCCTGTCCGCACAGACACCGTGTATGTGTGAGCTGTGAGGGAGGAAAAATTTTGAAGTCGGTAAATGCAGACCTTGTTTGCTAATAGATTTTTTTTCCCAACTGTGTTGTTTCCAGTCTCACAGCGTGTCTATTTATACAGCAAAATGTCTCAAAAAATTTGTACAACATGCAGAGGGTTGGTGTGACAGAAGAGGATGCTTTGGATAGTGCGAGATCGGCTGTGGTAACCCCTAAAGAGAGCAGCTGAAAGAAGAAGAATGTCTCAAAATTGGACTTTAAACCGTTCTCCCCACTAACCCTTTCAAAACTGAGTTCAGCTTTGAAAAAGTGCATGCTAGAAGAGCATATTAGGATGCTGAAAAGCAAAATCTACCAAGGCTTATATTGCTCCATGCTAGTTCAACATCTTCACCATGCAACAGCTGAAATAAAAATAAGCACCTCTAATGTTTCCTTAGACAGAGCACTTGAAAGCAAGTGTAGTTACATTCCACCGGTGACATAACTTTCAACCTACTTTCCAAAGCATCTTCCACCTCAGTTTCAGTCGTTTTCAGTGTCCCATCCCTGAGGAGTTTCTGTGTGATGATGTCTGAGGGGACAAGCTCCCTCACCGTCTCACCATCATCTTCAGACTTAGCTAGCCAGCGCTCGCAAGGGAATATAGTCGTCTCAGAACCCTGCCATTAAACACACACAACTCTTCAGTCTGGCACCAGCTATGTTTCTCTAGCTGAGACTCAATGAACTGTGTGAGCCAGAAGATGTTAAATTATTAATTTGTTAATAATTTAATGAGGCCACAGACAAGAAATCTCTTAACGATGCACTTACAGTGCATTGCCTAAAGTATTCACTCATCTGCGTTCAAAGGCATATGAACTTGAGTGACATCCCATTCTTAATCCATAGGGTTGAACATGATGTTGCAGCTATAATAGCTTCAACTCTTCTGGGAAGGCTTTCCACAAGGTTTAAGAGTGTTTTTATGAGAATATTTGACTACTCTTCCAGAAGAGCGTTTGTGATGTTGGATGAGAAGGGTGCTGTCAGGACTCTGTACAGGACAATCAAATTCTTTCACACCAGACTTGCTCATCCATGTTTTTATGAACCTTATGTGCCTCGGTATGTGCTCTGTGATTTTATGTGACCTACCACTTTGTGGCTGAGCTGCTGTCATTCCCAATCGCTTCCACTTAATAATAATAATAACAGTAAAAGTTTAATGTGGAATCCTTAGTAGTGCTTGACTTCACAGAGCTTCTGAGAGCAACCCATTGTGTCACAAATGTTTGTAGAAGCAGTGTGCATGCTTAGGTGCTTGATTTTATACACACACCTGTGGCCATGGAAGTAACTGGAACACCTTAGCCATGATTTGGATGAGTGAGTGAATAGTTTTGGCAATATAATGCCGCTATTATGGTGTCATCTCATGTGGCTTTTGCTTACCTTTCCTTTCCTGAGCTGTCGCCTGATCTCCACTCTGTCAAGATGCCATCCAGGATTTGTGCCGCTGTTGTCATGTCCTATCCTGATTTTCTCTATAACATCACCAATGTCCTCCAGCTGTTTAAAGACAACTTATCATTCGCAAACCGGCCGCCACTTTTTGAAAAGCTCTATCAGTGAGTAGCCACACATTACACTTACCTCCACAATAAACATGTCTTCAGCTCCCCTCTCAAAGCACAAGCGTCGTTCTCTCTTGTTGACACACAGGTGCTTCTGCTGAGTGCACACCCCCTTATGGCCATACAAGACTATAAACACGTCAGCATCTGTTCCCGCTCCAAATACATCGGTGGTGTATATCTTTATCTCATAAGGCACAACTGAAAAAAATGGAAAAGCTTTTTTGTTGACAGGTAAGGTGGAAGAACCCTTTTTGAGCCGTACACACACTGGTCCCATCATCGTTTATACTTCGGTTTATCAGGTGTCAGGTACAGCTGACCACTTGTGTTCAGATTTCCTTGCCTTCTTTTTAACCAAGAGTCAGCAAAGAAAACAACTATTTTAAGACTTGTAAACCACAAAAGCTGCATGAAAAAGAGAAAACAAGGTGTTACAATCTTGTTGTGGATGTATTAGACGCACTACAAAAAAATGTCAGTGCGTCAAAGACTGAAACTCTGTTACTTTGGTGGTTTCACCATTTATTGATGAGCAAACACTATCATGGTTAACTCATATTGATGATGTTGGAGTGGGTATATTTCAACTTAATATTCAAAAGCTTGCGTTTTGAATTTCAGAGGCCACAATTAAACGTGTATAATAGTCTTTGTTTCTATCCCACCTTGATTACTTGTCTGTTATTTGGTTTTAGTGCTTCAGAAGTAAGACCCTTGCTCAAAACAGAGCTACCCATTTTGCTCTTCACTGAACGACAGTGTGGGTGGGAAACATGCCAGGCTGTCATGGATGAAGGTGGAGGACAGGCTGGCATATAATCTAGTCTTTTATATAAGTAACATTTGCATTTTAGGAAAGGCTATATTAGTATTCACAGCTAACGTTTACAGTTATGACACCAGACGTGCTTTTATGCCTTACAGAAAACATATCAGACTAAACTATCTAACTGTAATAACTGTCCATCATTCTTACTACAAGCAGTATATGTAGTTATTTATCTGTGGAGAGGGATCACAGTTGTGCTAGCTGATAGCATAACTGCTGGCTTAAAATGTGTTTATTGTCACTGATGACATTTTTCTGTTTTAGTGTTAACTTGTTGTTGAAACTCAAAGGAATCATTTGATCTTTTAATACATTTGCTGTCCTAAATAGTTAACATCTAACTGGTAAGATACTGAATGAAAATACAAAGTAATGTGTAGAAATTATATCTATAGATAATTGCTACTATAATATCCTGAAATTGGTTGAACTTTTAGAGCCTGCTTTATAAAAATGCCCTTATATTAAAGGGCATTAAATTATCGTCATTGATTAAATAATAACAGTCTTTGAGCCCGCTTTATAAACTGCAATATTATTTATTTACTTTCTTGTTGTTTGTATAAACTAACATGAATGGATCATAATGTGTAAGTTGAGTTTGCATACATATTGATAAAAACAAACTATACTCTATAAGTCAATATTTCGGGCTGTTGTCTCAAACTTTATCTCAAAATTTGGATTTATTAACTCAAACTAATGAGAAAATAACTTTATCAAGGGGAGGCTGGAGCCTATCCCAGCTGTCATAGGGCGAGAGGCAGGGTACACCCTGAACAGGTCGCCAGTCTAACACACAGACACAGACAACCATTTGCACTCAAATAACTTAAATTCTGAGTAATTTTGTCTAAAGTTTGAGTGAGTAAGTCATAATCTTTTTTTGGAAAATAACCTGAAATTTCGACTTAGCTCTTCCAATCGAAAATGTTTTTTTCAAGGGCAGAAACAAGCCTTCATTGGAGGAACGATAATAAAAAGACAGGACACCACTGCAGCTTTATAACATTCATTACAGGTTGGAGTTAATGGTCTGACAAGCACCATTCTTCAGGCAGACTGCTTTAAAATACATTTTACTGCTAATGCTTCCGCTCTTTTATCAGAGTGAAATTTTGCATAAAGCACTTTTAGAGGACGATTTCTCAATAAGCCTACTCTACGTTTACTAATGGATTTGAGTGCTTATATCACTGCTGTTCACTCACATGGTGTGTAGAATTCAGTCTGTAAGTCAGCAGGATAGAGATCCCTCACAGTTGCACCATCATCCTCCCCTTTATCCAGCCAACGGCCACATGGGAAGCGCATCCTCTGACCCTGTGAAGGGGCATCAATGTCGATCCAGTCCAAGAACCAACCAGATGAACCCCCTGATTCAGAAAAAAAAAGTTTATTTTTTTTGTACAGTGCAGTGCTTATGTATATGACTGCTTTGTTTGTTTTTGGACAGTACGTTCTTTCCCCACCTGAGTTGTCGTGCCCGATTCGAACTTTTACCAGGTCGCCCAGATCCACGGCCTCCACAGTGAACTCATTGATCATCCCCTGTTCAAACTTATTCTTGTAGTTTTTACAAGCCTTTAGATTGATGATCCCTGTGGGTGACATGCAGATTTTTTAAAAATTCTGATATTTAGCCAGTAACAGGGATGCCATCATAATGCAGGGATGATGCTGAATTATCGCACCTGTGTCATCATTTTCACCAAAGAGGATGGCGAAGACGTTGGAATCAGTTCCAGCATACTTCTTTTCTCCAGTTTTTATCTTAAGAGTATATGTAGTAGACATAGCTGCAGGATAAATTTATCATATAAGTACATGAAACTTGTCATATTGGTCTTCCACTAATCTTATCCCACTGAGGCGTAAACAAGCTTTGAAGCTTCATTACATTTCTGCTCCAGGCCCAGAGTACCACTCGTGCCCTCATCATCATCATCCTTCCTCATGAAGGCCTCATCCACGGGAACCAGCTCTCTCGCTATCTGCCCGTCGTCTTCATCAACTGCAAGCCAGCGGTTACAAGGGAAGTAGTATCTACAGAAGAAACACCTCTGTTCAACACTCCAAGATATAATCTTGTTAATTTACTCTCCTAATCACACAAAATCTTTAATTGTTGTTTGCTGTAGGATTTTTCTGGAATCCAGCTGAATAACTAAGCAAAACCCACATGTCTGTATGTTTGTGGCACCTACGTTGTATCCTCTTTTGTGTCCACTATTTCAACACGATCCAGGTACCAAGAGGAGTAAGACTCAGAGTTGTCATGACGGATTCGTAGCTTCTTCAAAGGGCCCAAATCAACGGCTGTCACGATGAAAACATCCTCCTGCAAAATGCAGCAACTAGATGTTTTACAAATCACTTTTAATTTAACTGTTTTTATTTGATAGTCCAAAGTGATACCAGAGCAGAAATGAATCGGGACTCACAAGAGTGTTAACTGATAGAAGAGAAGTTGGTTTGAAACAGTACTGAAATATATGAAAGCTTTGAAACTTTACAAGGGAAAGACAGAAAAGGCACAAATATATAAAAATGGAATGCAATCCATCCAGAGTTGCTACAGTATATCTGACCACATCACAAATATATTATTGGAAGAAGCATGTAAGCAAAATCAAGGTAATATGAAAACTCCCTGCTTCTGCGATGCTGTGTAAAATGTAGAGAAGAACAAAATGCAAAATCCCATATTTACCTAAAAATAAGTCAAAGACAACTTAAAAAAAAACTTTAGTTGAATTTGATATGTATATTATAATGTTCCCAAAGTCTTGAAAGTAGGCAGGGTAGTTCAACAAACAGACTCTTTTACTTTTGTTTTTACAATTGAGTCATGTTGTTCACGTCACAGAGGTACCTGTATGTGGTTTGACATTGTCCTGAGAAATCATCATCTGTATGGCTGCATATGATTTGGAATCATTTGGTGGGATTCACATGTTTCTCCATAACTTGTATGTACTCTTCAGCCTTAACAGTGCCTACCATGTGCAAGTTACTCATGCTTTTAAAATGCACACTAATATTAAGTCATACAGTTCCTCACATTTTTAGAGAGGAGGAAGTGATGGGCATGTTTTCCAAAAAGAATTAAACATTTCGGTAAATTCAAACACTGAATGTTTTTTTCTCCCTGTATTAAATATGCTTGAGGCTAGAGAAGGCAGCAGTGTTTCTGGATCATATTTTATAGATGTTGCAAAGTGTAATATCCACTTTGGTGGATGCTGTTCACTGACAACAATTTTCAGAAGTGCTTCTGTGTCCATACAGTGATTTCCAATACTATGTATTCAAATTTTAAAATATTATCCACTGAGGATAAAAAAAACCCTGAAGTATTTGCAATTGTTTGAAATACAATTTCACAACAAGCATATACTATAGCTTTCAAAATTCAGTAAAAGTTTTTTATGCTTTTCTTGGGTATCATTTTTAATTAAATACACTAAGTGATTTGCAAGTCAATTCATTTTTTTCACCTTTCCTATTATGTTAAAAAAGGAGAAGACGGCTGGTCATACTCGACAGAAAACAGTTAAATGAATATGTGAGCTGCAGTTACATTTCTTCATGGTAATGTGACAAAGATGGCACCATTCGTTTGTTCCCTTCTCCCTTCCACTTGCCACTCCTGGATTTATTTCTGTCTTCCCGAATCATCTGAAAACAGTTGATGTTAGTGACGGGATCTTGAATTATTCTTGAAGATGTGTTTCTGTGACACTCAGTATAATACACACATGAAGGGCCCCTCATTTCTCACAAAAGCTGTTAGCCTCTCTGTGGTCCAGCCATCTCACAGGCATGACAGTGTCTGTTTTCTGGGCCTGTTTCTTTTCCCTTGTAGCTTCCTTCTACTTCCACATCCCCTGCTTGTTATCCTCTGATTTCTGCAGGGATGTCTGTTGTTGTTATTCCGGTCGTCATGCAACTGCAGCACGTTTAATAAAAATGGTAATAAGGGGTCGAGAAAACAGAGCAGGTCTCCCAAGCAACATGTCCGGTGATGGCATAGCTCAAGAAAAAAAAGGTACTAGCAATAAACGAAACAAACCAAGTGTGACAAGAAAAAGTAAAAGAAAGCAAAAAAGGAAGGAAGAAAAGGACAGAGAGAAAGAGAGGTGGGGTTGTTGAGGAAATATTCAGTTAATTTCACTGTTAAGGCACTCACTCATGAGTAAAATATAGGTTTTTTTTTTTACATTGTATCACATAAAAGTATTTATTTATTTATTTATTTATTTTTTTAAAAAGAAGAACAATTCCTTTACAGAACTGAGGGTGACACTGTTTATTCAGGAGCTTTAATTGGTCATAAATAAACTCTCTTTCTTAAATTTTGTTATTATATATATGCCTCTTAAAGTATCTTTAATGAAAAAAACGATTTTAAACAGAACTAAACAGAGAAAAGGTGTAGATGTCTGTCAGCCACAGACCAAACATTCCCACTCACCGAATGGACTTTTTACTTGTGTCTTAGAAACAGACCCATTTTCCACTGAAGTGAGCTCTATGTTCTTACAGGGCCAGCTGTGATAATTAATTCACAGGTGTGGATAAAGTATGGAGTAAAAGTAGGACGGGTTCAATGACGCAGAGGACTCCTGTGAGTCCAAGCCGGCTTGCCTGCAGGAGTGTTTGTAACCCTACCAGAATATGCTCCCACCCACACCTCAGTGGAAGACTCATGTTGCGCGAACATGGTTGAATCTTTGACTAACTGCTGGTTAATTTTCAGCATGACACATTTTTGAACAAATGTATAAAGGTGTTCAGCTGTGATGAAAGCTACTAAGATATATATTTTTAAGAATATCAATTCGTAGAACTTGCCACAATAGAACATAATCACAAATATAATCAAGCGACATCTTTAAATCTAAATCATCATTTTTATAATCATACAAATTTAGAAGTGATTGTGTATTTCCTTTATTACCTGCCCTCCCTCAAATTTATTGATGTTGTCAGAATTCTTCAGGCAGCGCTCTCCAGTGTCTCCGTTCTCTCCATAAATATTAATGTAGACATTGGCGTCGGTCCCGGCTCCCATCATGTCACCAGTGAAGACACACACTTCGTAGGTGTTGACTGTCAGACAAAACAAGGGTTCAATTACTAACACCTTGTTAACCTGTCATACATGCCCTCCAAGTAAATGTGTGAACCAATTATGGCTAAAACACAACACTGAAGACACAATGAAGATGTCGTAAATAAAAATACATTTCAGTTCTTTATTGCTTATTAGCTGTAGCTAATTGAAATTTCTTAAATGACTAAAAATGGGATAAGGTGGTACTGGGAAGTCTTGTTCAAAAAGATAAATGCAGACAGGTGGGTGCTCACTGGAAAACTGATAGAAAATACATCTGCTTTAAGCCTATGTCTTAAATTAATTAACTATGTGAGGAGAAGGGATGCATATGGGAAGAAGAGGTGCTCTTTGAATAAAACAGACCTTTTCTTCTCTCTAACTTTAAAGACATGATGTTAAATCTTTTAGTTTTGGTTGACTTAATAATATTATTACGTGCAATGTAATCATGAATTTCATCCAGCACTGGTATGCTTCCTTTGCTCTGAATGCATTATTCATGTGAAAAGGCATTTGAATTCAGTGCAGATGGTAGATTACCTCCATGACTAGATTTCCACATAGGGAGGTAACTAAGGATTGCACACAGCCAGTGAGACTGCAAAAAGTCATTAATAATATAAAAAAAAATTATAATGAAAATCTCACGCATTGAAACTTTAATATGCTCCAAACTCAGAGAAGTGTTTAAAGAACATATGCAATTTCTAAAAATGCATTTTATGCTGTTGCATTTTTGATATAATTTAAAGAGAGGGTTCATGGACCAGCGAACAAAGCTGTGTTTGCCTGACTCTGTCCGTGCATGAATAGCAGCTCCATTTTGCTGCAGGTGGTATATTTGAAAGAGTGATTTTGGTGCATTTTTATTGTGGAGTATGCACGGAGAAAAGGGTTTTGTTTTGTACTATGTTGCAAATCCATGGCCACTGAACTACCGGGAATTACTATTATGATGATTATTACTATCACATATATCATCATCATCATGAACTGTGTTAAATAAAACAGTTGAAACTTTCATTTAGCTTGTTCATTTAGTACCTTCCATCTCTTCTGCATCTTCAGGCAGCAGCTCCACCACCAGCTCGCCGTCCTCCTCTCCCCCAGCCAACCAGCGTGAACAGGGAAAATGATATGTCAGCACCACTTCTTGCATCTCCTCGCCACCCTCCTCATCCTCATCTTCCTCTTTCTTCTTTTTCTTCTTCTTTTTCTTGTCCTCCTTTTTCTTCTCCTTGGGCACCAAGGCCATGATGAGATGTTTCACGTCCACTGTCTCCAGGAACCAGCCAGATCCAATGCCGGCGCCATTGTGACCGATGCGTATCTTAAAGATCTTTCCGACATCTTTGGCCTCTATCTGTCAAACAATTGAAAAGTTTTGATTCAACATTTGGACATTTAATTCTGCATTCACGTTAAATTGTTGCAATAGAGTTGGAGTTTTGGAAATCATAAAATCCAGATTTGAAACCTTAAATATTTCGGTGGTATTCCGTTCAAAGTTGTTGGATCTGCTTTCCAGTGTGATAACCTCCGTCTTCCCCTTGTCCCCGTAGATTTGGATGAAGACTACAGCATTTGTGCCAGCAAACACCACATCTCCGGTCACGACTGTTATCTCATAGTTTATTACTAGAAAATGCAGATCGATGAATGTGAAAGTGAACACAAGTATTTTTCGTGCAGCAATGGTGTTAACACATACTCATATACTTAACTCATATATTTAAAACGCCTTACATAATAATTCAGTTCAGTGTAATTGT